GGCACAGTCCACGTGGGCCAATGAAGACCTCAGAGCTCAATCTTTATTTGAAAGTAGATTTTAAAGACAGTGGATCACTCTAAGGACTTTCTTCAATTTTAAAATAAAAACATATTTTATGTGTGTGTGTGTCTGCACATGGGGTATGTCTGTGTCTGCACATGGGGGATGCCTGTGTCTGCACATGGGGTATGTCTGTGTCTGCACATGGGGTGGGTATGTCTGTGTCTGTACATGGGGTATGCCTGTGTCTGCACGTGGGGTGGGTATGTCTGTGTCTGCACATGAGGTATGCCTGTGTCTGAACGTGGGGTGGGTATGTCTGTGTCTGCACATGGGGTATGCCTGTGTCTGTACATGGGGTATGCCTGTGTCTGCACGTGGGGTGGGTATGCCTGTGTCTGCACATAGGGTGGGTATGTCTGTGTCAGCACATGGGGTATGTCTGTGTCTGCACATGGGGTATGCCTGTGTCTGCACATGGGGTATGTCTGTGTCTGCACATGGGGTGGGTATGCCTGTGTCTGCACATGGGGTATGTCTGTGTCTGCACATGGGGTGGGTATGCCTGTGTCTGCACATGGGGTATGTCTGTGTCTGCACATGGGTTCACCTGTGGTTACAGGTGTGGAGGCCTGAGGTTGACACCAGGACCCATCCTCAGTTGCTATCCAAGTGGTTTTTGACTCCTGCCCTCTCTCTGAACTCGGAGCTCATCAGTTGGGTTAGACTGGCCGGCCAGCAATTCTCCCCCATCATCCCATCTCCACCCCCACCCCCACCCCCACCCAGTGCTGGGGCTGCAGGTGTGTGTGCAGCCGCACTTGGCCTCTCTGTCAGTGCTGGGGATCTGAACTCACGTCCTCATGCTTGAGGGGAATACGCCTTAACCACTGAACCATCTCATCAGCCCCTCCCTCCCCCTCTCTCTCTTCCTCCCTCCCTCTCTTTGCTCTCTCTCCTTCCACTTCTCCTTGGTTCTTTGGGTACCAATCTGATTATAAACTACGCTGTTCTTATTGGCCTTTCCAGGCCTTTTCATACTTTGAAAGAATTAAAAATTATAGCATCCATGAATTAAAATAACTCTCAGTCCTTTCTTATTAGCTGAATGCAGTTGGGGGATAAATACAGTGAGTGTTCAAGGAAGAAAAAAAAAAGACTGCAGAATAGAAAATTGTTTAAGTGGCCAAAGAAACTTTATCCTATTGTGCTGCAGGCCGAGCTAGGCCAGCTATATGGAAATGCAAGCGGCGGCCTGCGCTCATGCGTCCACTTTGAAGTTGCCATCTGAATTTAATTCTGCCTTTGTGATTAAATCAGGCCATTACGTTTAATCTCACTTAATAGTAAGAAACGTCCTTTGTTGTTTTCTATAGGCAACATATTCTCCCCTAACATATACAGCTTGGCATTCACACTTTACCATTAATCCCCGATGGCTGATAATTGCTTCATCTCCAAGCCCTCTGTCCAATTCACAAGAGCTGATTGCGACTATTCTTTCCTATACATTAACGCACTGTTTGGGTCTTGCTTCTTTGCCTCAGTGCGCCCTATCAAGCTGCCCACATTTTCTGGGCATGTGGACGTATTGTGAGATGTTAAATTAAATTCTGTGTTGACGCCCCCACCCTGCCCCAAACACCGGAATCTATTAGCCCCTGGAACTTAGCTGATTGACAGCTGGAACCGCTTTTCCACTGAAACCCCTTCCATAAACAACAACAGGCTAAATATTGCTTTTCTCGGCAAAGTCCGGGGTCTTAGGAGGCTGTCTTGCTTGTTCTGCAGTCGATATGGAAGCAGGGCCAACTGTGTTCTTGGCATGAAATTGTCCTCGTCCTGTGTTTGTCTGTGTTGTCGTTTCTCTTGGGGAGGAGTTTTAACTCTCAGAGACACTTCTTCCTGTTGGTGTTGCTGCTTTAAGATTTGAAATTATTTTCTCCTTTTTGGTTTCTGTCTCTAAAAATGTCTCAGATGATAACTCTTTCAGCCTCCGCCCCCTGTTCTCTGCAGGGTGAATTGCTCAGGCCGCGCAAGACTCCAAGGAAACAGCAGCTGAGTGGATGTCCCCCGGCTCCGCGCTTTGCACCTATGGTAACGGATACGACTAGTTCTAATGTTTAGCGTTAAAAAGACGCAGGCTTCCCTTTCTGTTGCCCCTCATTAGACGGGCCATGCTTACCAAGCTTCCCATCATGCTAAATTAAGAATACTATCATTATCAATTTGACTCTTGATTCCCGCAGCATAATTAGCCGCTCCTCTCTAATTTACATTAACCACATATAGAACCTAGGATCTCCACAGAGGCTGGACGCGTTCACAGCCGCCTTGCGCTGCTCAGCCCGGCTTTCTGTAATTGCAGCCTCCTGTCTGTTACTGGGGCTCCTGGGGAATTCATGTGGCGAGTTTTAATTTCCTTATAGGACTTTAGAAGTTGTCTTCTTTGACCTTACTTTGATACAGTATATACTAAGGTGAACACTGTCTTATGATTACCGTAGAAAAATCTTAAACACTTTTTTTTTTAAAAGCTGTAAGAAAGAAACCTGAAAGTATCTCGAATCTCTGACACAGCTGCTATCATTTTGGTGTGTTTTCTAGATACATTTTCCCTGTTTAACCAACCCAGAGTGGTGTTTTATATAAAAGCATATGTACAATTTTCAGCATTTCAAGAGTATTTTATTATATTAGTCTCAGATCACAGAGGTGCCGAAAAACGTGTCTTAAAAGATTACTATTTGTCTTATTGTAAAGCAATACTAAAAGAATGCATTTGTTTTCCATTTAGAATTATTTCAGATTTACAGGAAGGCTACACAGACAGCACGGAAAGCTTACATATGCCTTTTACCCAACAGTGCCTTTTCTCTTTAATTTTAAAATATCGTATTCATTTATTCACTTAATTAGCAGGGGGAGTGTGTGCCGAGGTGTGTGTGTCTATCTGTCTGTCTGTCTGTGGTCAGGGAACATCTTATGAGAGTCTTCTTTCCGTTATGCAGACTCCAGAGATAAAGTCAGATCATCAACCTTAGGGGCACACACTTTCCCTGTGGAGCCATCTCACCCCGAATATTCTCCATTCTTTTAAAGATCTCACATAACTATATGATGTTTGTCACAACTAAGAAATACAGCATTTAAAAAATACACAAAGGTATACACAGTCATTTGCTCAGGTTCTTTCATCATAGAAATACGTATTTTCCTCTGTCATTAAACCTTATTTTGTTCAAGGAGAAATTGAAGGTGACAAGTATGGCTGTGGAATAAGTGAGGTAAAATGTCGATGGTGTCTAACCAGAAAGCTGTCCTCAGCATCCTAGAGGTCGCTTGCTGGAGACGGCTGCACTTAGCTTGCCCTGCTCCATTCCCCGGTGGTGCCTACCTGGGGGCTGACTGCAGACATTCTCAGGGCATCAACTGCAGGCCCAGGCCCAGCCTTTGCAAGGGAGATTCTCAGAGCAAAACAAATCTAGGCACCAGTGTTTCTCTCTCTCTCTCTCTCTCTCTCTCTCTCTCTCTCTCTCTCTCTCATATGAATACATTTTTACTGTAGAAATACTGGAAACTCACACCGGAAAAAAAAATCAGTGAGCAAAATTGTTATTGGCCATGCAGATGTGACTTCAGGGGCTGGCGGGCATGGTTGGAACCCCCTGCTTTAGAACTGACCGTTTCAGATATGCCTGCTCATTTTCAGGAACACACATTCTTATAAAATTTCCCAAGAATGACACAGGTTCTATCCTATGACATTACCAGAACAGTTTAGCCTCATCTCACGCACGGAGAATTTATGATATTTCGAGAGAGGCAGAAATGAGAAAACCCTGAGTGTGCAAAGGGGGCTGGTGTCAAGAATCGACTCCTGAAAGCTGTCCTCCACCTTCACGCTGATGCTGGGCACATCCACACTCAAACGCACAGGCATATACAAATCACAAGTGTATGGTAAGATGTTTCAAGATTTTTCTTATTACTAATATGAGTTTCTACCTTTTTATTTGTCCTCTTGTTACAAAGAAAATAACTAAGTAATTTATTTTATTATTGCCTCAGGGATAATATTTCCAGGGACAGAGCTCACGGCGTTGGCTGAGGTCACTCTGCTTGTACCATTCCTGAAGGTTGATTTTTCAAGATTATTTTAAAAAGAAGTTACCAGCTAACCCAGAAATCACTGCATTAATGGGGGGATGGCTACAGAAACTAGATTTTCAGAAGACATCAAATACTATGGCTTAGTAAAGTTGACTAGCAGTTTCTGTCTGGTTAACTGCTTAGCTACCCAGGGATCTCCTCTGTAGAGACGGTTGTGTACTTGTGGGAGTGTGTAGTAAATCACTGGCTCCAAAGAGCTGCTCGGACCCTGGCTGGACGGTGAGCAGAAAAAAGGGCAGGAATCAGCAAAGGCAAAACAAACTGGCTTTGGGTGGGTCCAAGTCTCCAGATGCAGTAGTGAGGTGTCACACATGGCTGAAAGATAGCAGCAACCAGAGTTTCTATGGACACTTCTGGAGATTTCTGAACTCATTTTGTTGGCATTCAGACACAAGACAAAGCTCTCCTCAGTGACCTCAACCCACTCAGTCACTCATGGAGAGCTAGAACTTTCTGTGGCAGGTAATACTACTGCTGTGTCGTTCCGTCTTGCGCTCTGGGAGAATGCTGGGCTTACTAAGGCTGCGTGGATTTGTTATATAATTGAGTCTCCCTGATCACTTCTGTACGGTGATAGCTCTGTCATTTCACTAGGGGAGTTGGCAATTTTAGTTTGAGATTATACCAAGGGAGATATAGGATTATATATGCTATTAAAAATGTTCCCAGACGTTTTATGAGATTAAAATAAGAATTTTAAAATATTGTGTAGGAAAATATAGCCAGCCTCCTGGCTCTGCAGATTCTAGGGCTGTGGGTTCTATACTCACGGAGTCAATCAACTCTAGATTAAAAAGTTCGGTAAAAAGTCTGTCTGCGGCCCCTGCTCGGGGGTCACGATGGACAGCAAGATGGCTTCCGCCAGCAGGGTCGGGCAGGTAGTGAAGCCACATGCTCTGTTAATAAGGTTCCCTGACAGAAGAGACAATCCTAAACTCAGTGCCTCAGACGTTTTGAGATCTGCTGGGCTACCCTCCCACTCTGCTGTAATTTCACAGCACTCTAAAGGAAACATATCCCCAGATTTGCTGATGCATCCGGGGCCACCAGACACTGCAGAAATACTAAAAACATTACCTCAGAAACACAGAAGGAAACCTTTATCTCAAGAAGAAATGGACTTTATCCAGCGTGGAAGTCCAGAATGATCGCTGTAGCTGCTGTTTGTCACCAGACAAAAGGATTATCTTTACAATAAAGGACTTCCAAAATGTCAAATGAAAATTGTATATTAAGCAACCTTAATAAATATTCTGCGGAAAGAATGAAGTATAGAAACTGTAGATGGCCACTTGTATCTCCTCAATGTATCTTGGTTAGCTTCTCTAGCAAGCTGGCCTGCATACCTATTAAAGTCACATTTTTACATTAAAAAAAAGTCTGTCTGCCCCGAATCTTTAGAGACGTTTCTTATTGTTATTTGCAATCCCTGCATCCCACTTACATTTGACATCATGAGGAGCAGAGAGACAGCTGAACGGGGACAAGGGATGTGCCCAGGGCACACAGGTGTTGGGGTCCAGAGGCCTCAAAGCCGAGCACACAGCCACAGACATGTTCTAACCCCATGTCTGTCAAAGACAAAGGTGTCAGTGCTACGCAGCACAACTCAGGGGAACCAGGTCTGTTAAAATCGGGCTGAATAATGGGAACACTCCCTGGGAGTTTGCTAAGTCAAGAATGGAGTGATTCATCCTCTTTAATTCCTGGGAGAAAGAAGCCTTACGCTGAATGTCTAAACAGTAGCAAATGGAAGCAGGTTCCAGAAAACAGACAGACGAGCAATGAGTTCGTGAAGCTCAAAGCCTGGAGCTTCCCTGGGTGGCCACATTGCCCTGGGAGGCTGTGTTTCATGAGTGAAAACACAGAGCACAAGGCCTTCACATTTCGTAGCCCTGGGAGACATTCCTAGGATGAGCCAACACTGTTTTCCTGCTCTGGAGTCTGAATCAGTAGCCAGAGAAGACACTGGCATTGCGTTCTCAACTTTTAAATCCCATTACAGAAATTCCCACAGTGATCTTTTCCATTTGAAATTGCAGCGGAGACACTACAGGTGTGGCTTGGCTGTCACAGTTTCTGTCTAGCATGCACAAGGCTCGGGGTTTGATTCTCAGCGTTGAATGAAGTGGCCATGGTGGCACATGTCTGTAGTCCCAGCACTTGAGAGGAAATGACAAGAAATGCCATCAATTAGGGGTCATCCTCCACTATTTAAAGAGCTCTAGGCCAACCTAGACTACAAGAGACCTATCTGTTTTAAATGGCAATCTAGGAAGAAGGAAGGAAGGAAGGGTGAAAGGAAGGAAGGGAGGAAGGAAGGGAGGAAGGAAGGGAGAAGGAATGTGCTAGAAGGTGTTAGATTAAGACCACATTTTCTAGCAAACTCTTCCAACCTCCCTTCCTCTCTGTCTCCCTCACTTCCTCCTTTCTTTCCCGACTGTTCTAGGGAAGTCAGAGTTGAAATTGACCCCCATCTTAGAGGAATGAAAAGGAAAGAGGGGTCACTCTGTCTCCATGGCCCAGTGAGGTGTGAGGCAGGAATATTGAGGGGTGTGTTACACGACCATAGGAACATGAGGTAAGGGGTGGGTTGGGCTGACTGGCTCAGGAGAGGGAGCAGGAACGCTAACAATTGAGAAGGTAGGACTTCAGGCTGACAGGTACCCGAAGAACAGAGCAAAATATGGACCCCTTGAGAGACAGGCCAAGGGAGTAGGCCTGGCTGTTTTGGTCACTCTGTCCTTAGAGGTTTGTCTTATAAAATTGTAAGTGTCCAAAGTTCTCACCAGAGGACAATCCTCACGTTGGGTGGTATGCTCGCTTTTGAGGAGACTCAAACTTTCAGGGAAAGATGGAGAAAGTAGACCAGCCTACCTACTAAAGAAATAGCTTTCTACTCTTACCCAAAAGGGAAAAAAGTCCCCTCAGAGATGTGGCTCCTAGGCCACAGGTTTATTTTAAAAAGACAACCTTGTGCTATCCTGAGCCTGTTTATGTTGTTGAAATGGCATTGCATAATCCAGTCAGCTCCTGGACTATAAATACACCTATAACCCAAAGAAGCTGTGTCCCCAAGCCCACTGGGAGCCATGGCTGGTCCTGAGGGACTTATCCATCTAGAAGTGAAAGAAGATGGAATCAGACTTCAGAAGACTCCACAGACGCCTTCCTTCTATACCCCACAAGAGAGAGGTGATTGACTTTAGAGTGAACATGAGTGGGTGCTTCCAGAATATCCTATAGGCCAACTGTGAGCGCTGCCGATCTTAGGAAGCCCAGAGAGAAATGGAGGGCCATTGACATCAAGTTGTCTCTGACAGAGTCCGTCAGTGTCTGGCTGAGACAGAAAGGCAGCACCGGATTCGTGATAAGAGAAAGGCAACTGAAAAGCTAGACAATTGAGACTAACGGCTTCGCTGCCCACTCCCCATCCACATTTCCCCTCCCTTTTACCTCCAGCTGAAATAACTGGAAATGCTTTCATGTGAGAGAGAATGATGCCATCAAATAGCACCTGAGCTGGGGCCCAGAGGATCCCGGCCCCACCTGGTGCTCTCCAGGACGGTTCCCTGCTACACTTCGAAATGAGAACGAACCTTTGCCTCTCACTCCTATCAGAGGTGCTAAGGCCCCTCTAGATTTGCTTTGCAAAACCAAACCAAACCAACAGCCCAGTAAGTTGCATAATTCTTATATCTCATCTTCAAAATCTTGAAAGCAGCTTTCTAGGATGGCCGCTTGTTCCAGATGTGGGAATCCTGAAAATTCTAAATTTCTGTGAGTTCAGAGCCAAGACTGACTTGATGAATTCATTTCAGTCTTGAGAGTGAGAAATGAAAGCAAAGTTTAAATACGGAGGACATAGCCTGAGTTTATAGTTTAGAGTAGGAGTGCTGGTCCCATAAGGCAAATGAGAACAGGAGAGTACCCCTGTAGCTTTCTGTTTGGCTATCAGCACGGGCATGCGTCTCTAAGCGTAAGACAAGCACAGCATAAGAGGCCTGCTTGGTCGTGTAGAGTATGAATTAGGAGCCCGAAGACCTCAAGAACTGTTGAAATGGGAAGGGAGTCGGGGAGAGTGGAGCTGAGAGGAACAGAGACTGTGTCCTAAAGGGGCGCCCCCACTCAGTAGCAATTTCCTCTGCCATTCAAAACCTGAACACCATGACATACCTTCTGATTTTGCCAGAGAAACTCAATATCTGAATTTCCCAATGACCACGTGCATCTAGTGAATTGATTTAAAACCAACGGCACTCAGCTGCACCTGCCTTCACCTACAGGCCACCTCTGCCCTGGAAATCAGAGCATCGTAGACACGTATGTGCCTTTGAAACTGAATATTCATGAATTCAAGTCATTCCATATTTTCACAGCCACTCTCTGTCGTGGGGTTTAAAAGATTATATGTAAGCCCAGACTCTACCCCGGTAGAACCTCTTTGAGAGTGTAAACTACACATGATTTATTTAAATTATTTTTATTTTGACAAAATATCCATAATGTAAAACTTATAATCCTTTTAAATTGCTTTGCTTTATTAATTCTATGTATTGCTGAGATTTGGGGTTGGTATTTTTAAAAATAAGATGACAAAGAGTTTGCAAAATAAGATCTTGTATAGAAAGCTGCAGGAAATAATTTTTGCTTTAAATATTTTTTAGCATGGTTGATTAATATTAATATCAGTTTAGAAAAATTCAGTAGCCAAACTGTTAGTAATGTTTTATATATATAATTAGATATATCAAACAGAGAAATTTCTTGATGTACCTTTTTCCTATGTGCTATCCAGTGATTACTCTTAAATTTTAATTATTTTTATAGTCATTTTTTATTTTTTCAGAAACCAAACTTGGCGTGTATACAATTTAAATATCAAATGCTTCGGTATAGTTTACAAAAGGGAGATTTTTAAGGTTACAAAACCCCTTCCCAGAATGAAGTTTTTCTAAAATCCCCCTTTTCAAAAACGAGTCACTGTGGCAAACGTGTTAGGTGACTGACTGGTCATGGCTGACTCCTATTGCACTGGTGCTCAGTGGGATTAAAAAGGAAGCCCGACTTTCACAGCTGCTGCCTCAAGGAGCAGCATTTTAGGTTCATTTGGAATGCAGAAATGGTTCTTGCTGCTTCAATTCTTCTTCAGGCTGGTTTATTACACAGTTTGCAGAAACTTGCCATTGCCACCATTACCTGAATGGACAGTTCGATGACATTGATAGATGTGCCTCTGGGAGCACCCGTTACCACGGTCCACCTTAATATTCTTAGCTCACAACACTGAAGCTGTGGCCAGGAAACAGCACGGTGCCTCCTCACCCCCTGCTCCCAGAGAGCACTGCCTTCTCCCTGGCTCTCGCTCTGTCTACTGAGGCCGTCTCAGACAAACAGAAAGACACAATGTTTGTCTGTCCCTGTCTGCCTTGTCTCATTCCAGGTCCCTAAGGCCCGTCTCTGTTGTAGAATGTAGCAGAATTGTATTCAGTTTCCATTATAATAGTGTACAGTGTTCCGTTTGCCTGTTCTTGCCTGGGTGGACACCTGGGTTGCCCTAACTCTGACCTATGGGGAGCAGAGCTACTGCGGATTCTGATCTACACATATGTGGGTCCCTGCTTTCGATTTTGACAGTCCCTGTTTGTCAGGATCTACTGACACCTCTTCTTTAAGAGCTCCCCTCCCCTGCTGAGGCTGGGTGGGGATGGCCCTACATGTGCATCTATTTCAACTACATCGCCTGACTCGAACATGTGGTGTGCGCCTTCACTCTAGTTCAGCTGCAGAAAGGAAATTAATGCAGGGAGATCGACTAGCTCATCAAATCAACAAGGAGACCATAGAACTGTTTCAGAGGGAACGGAGACAAATTAGATCCTGCCTCTGGGAAAGCCTGCTTTGGACACTGCCAGGATCACCGTCACCTCTGGACTCCCGCTGCTGCCCCAGCTGGAGTCTGTCACTGGACTGTGGTTTGGACAATTGCTACCTTCACATAAGGGAACACTGTGCCTGCTGTGGCCACAGCAAAGACTGATAGCCAGCCTACCTATCAAAGTCCCCCAGACAGAAACTTGGGCTTTGGGTGTCATGGATGGACATATGTGACCCTCAATGTGACAGTGAGAGCCCCGATTCTCGTGTGGCTGGAAATCAGCACAAAGAGAAGAAACACAGCCACCGCTGTGCCAGGCAGCGTGCCTACTTTGGGGACAAGACACTGGATTCCAGAACTGGCCATAGGAGGAATGTTTACATTACAAATGGGAACTTTT